TGTGACCCTGAATTTCAGGGCACTGCCAGGATGTTAGTTCACTGATGTCACTTAGTGAATATCACATTTCAGAGTTTTGCAAAATCTGCAAATTTTCATTAATCCTTTCACAATTATTTCTTGATTCCACTTCCTCATTGTACTTCTGCAACTTTTCTTAGGAATATCAACACAGAGGCAAAAAAGTCTACATGAATCACTATGTTTTAAAATAAACAACCCTTGGAATGGGCGAGGTTCTTTCCCCACCCAGAGACAGAGTGGAAATAACTCTGAGTCCACATCCCTGTAACTGTCCCTTGTCCTGTATGTGTCCTCACCCAGCCTCAGTGCTTAGGGTCTGTGAGCACCAACCCGTTTATCTGGACCCACTCCAGCCTCTGTGCCTTCTTGTCCATAGAAAAGCACTGATTTTTTGTGAACCTTTAATAGACCACATCACAGAGTGCAAGAGTTTCTGTGCATCCTGGGCACTGAGACATTGGTAACTAATGTGCTTTGAGGTACCTTGTCATTTAAGGTACACTACATTCAGAGGCTTACAATAGAAAATAGGGAAGAACGAAGTCTCGCCCTGAGAAGTAGTTTGACTAATATACTTCTGCTCAATTGTAATTTGGAGACTGGTTTTAAGACACTGCTTTCTATTTGATGGGGACTTTAAATGTTTTTAAAATGCTTTCACAATAAGCACTGAGAAAAAAATTCAGTTCCTATATTAACTTAGCATCAGGTATATTGTTCAGTGACTAGCTAGTATAAGATGTATAGCTTTCAAATAATTTATTACTTTTGTCAAACAGAAGAGCAACTGCCCGACACTGTGACACAGTTCCGACCACACTCAGGGGAGCAGGATGAAGGATGGATCTGTGTCACCCTCACAAACTCCTTCCCTGGTCCAGGGACCCCCTGCTGACAGCAGCAAGGGGACAGAGTGACAGGCCTGTTCTCACTCACTGTTTTACTGTCTAAGGTTTTCATTGTGTTGGCTCCCCCAGTAAATCCTAAGCTCACATGTGTTCAGTGTTAAATCTCCAATCCAAGATGCACAAAGCCACACTGTCAGCCATACTGAGTTCAATAATCTTCAGGCAACTAGTCCAGTTCTCAAAATGGTGAATAATGATTGTCTTGGTTCAAGTGTAAATGATGACACAGTTTATTTTACCACCTTTGGGAGAAGATTAGGTTGAAAGCTCAGACTACTGTATTGTATTGATTTCCCTGAAATAAGATAAAGAGCAGGAAATGTTCGGATATTTTTAGCAAGTGTTGAGGTAGTACGGGTGGCTGGTGGAAGCTCCTTCATTCACATCTGGGCAACTGCACTGTCCCTTCCCCACACACGGCTTCAAGTGACTGCCCTGACGTCACCGCACTGTGTCCTGATTTACTCGTAAACCCAATGATATCCCCTGTTTTTGCATAGTGTGTCTTGTCCTCTTTCCCTTTCAACCGTATGTTATTTTCACTCAGGATTTCTTCATATATGACACAGGGATCTGAAAGTAGACCAATAGATAAAAACAATGAATAATCTTTCCTTTTGTGGACTAAGAAAGCTCTGAGCTAATGACTAGTTGAGGACAACATGAGATGATGATGTAGTCTCAATGGCTAATATTTATTAACGTGGGCTAAGTGCTGTCCTTGGCACTTCCTGTGGTATCCTCCAGCTCCTTCATGGGGCAGCTACTGCTAGTCACACAGTAGGAAACTAAGGCAAGGGCAGTTCTGTCTTACTGTCCAAGGTCATGGAGCTTAGCAGGGAGCAGATGTGTGTGGACCCTGGCACCTCAGTCTGGAGCCTTGACCTCTGTCTCTGGTGTGCACAGCACTCGCCCCTGTGAGCTCATGTCCAGGGGAGGTTTGTGAACCTGCTCTATGTGGTCATGGTTTTCACTCTCCATTTTCCATTCAGCTGGCAGTGCCCACAAATGCTCCAAGTTCACGACAGCATGGATGGAACTAGAGAGCATTATGCTAAGTGAAATAAGCCAGATAGTGAAAGAGAAATACCACATGATCTCACTTGTAAGTGGAACGTATTCAACAAAACCAAGAAGCAAGCAAAACAGAACCAGAGACATGGAAATAAAGAAAAAAGTGACAGTAACCAGAGCAAGTGGGGATATGGATAACGGGTAAAAACTTGGGGAATGTCTGTCATGCAACATGTAGAAAGGACACAAGGACAAAGCCAAAGGGGGCAGGTTAGTGGGTGGGAGGTAGGATGTGTCTCCTGTGGCATTCCAAGATCTTATGACAATATATGAATCAGTGTAAGCAGAATGTTATTTTACACTGAATGCACAAGCACACATGTGTATTTTTTATTTCAATGTGGAGGAAGGATGTACCGAGCCCCTTCTGGATGCCAGGTACTGCGCTGGGCACTGGGACTTGGTTGTTGTCCATTCCTGTGACAGTATTTTCTTCATGGTCTCATGACAACACTCGATTACTTGTGCTGTTTGAGACCCAGATGCATTCTTTGTAGAAGAGTGTATGGTGCCTATAAAAATGTATTTACACTTGTTATGGGTGTACTGTTGATCCTTGCAATGCATTTTCAATTTCATTTCCATTTCACAGATCTAACGATCAAGAGGCCCTGAAAGTGAAAACACTTCCACACTCTTGGACACGCCCATGCGGCACCAGTAGCACATAGTTCTTGGATTCTAAATGCTATTTCCTGATAAAAAAATATCTGAGGTTCTTGCAAGCATGTGTACACACATGAGCAATTGCCAGAAGTACACACTGAACGTGGAACAACACACTGTGATATAAAGAAGAGAAAGGCTGAATGAGTAAGTGGGGATTCAGCCAAAGCTCCAAGAATGCAGTTCAGAAGACAGCCCGTAGGCAAAACTGGTGTCATCTGGACCGCCAATGGAAAAATGAATGTGACCAAATGAGACAAATAGAATATTAAACATTGAGCTGGTTTAAAGAAGAAAAACAAATCTTGAAAACCATCATGGAAGGACACAAACACAAGTTTGTGTGTTTCTTGCTCCAAAAATTGGAGATTGAAAGACCAACATAATGCTTAGCCACATCTTTTTAGGTGAAGGTTTAACTGATGTAGCGTTGGTGAAGGAACACTTACCTTTGTACAAGAGGGACAGTGAAGGAACACAGAAGAATGATAGAACTGATCTGTGAAATTACAATTTTGTGGCCACCAATGTAATAAATGGTGAAAACCAAGTGTGACAGGTTCCACTACTATTCGGTAAACAGTTGGGAGAAACACTGCACAAATATCAGCGTTAATAGAAAAGAGACATGTCTATTGTGACGATGTCCCTTCACATGACAGGAAGCTGGCTGCCCTGCTGACACAGGTTTTATAACATGGCTCCTTGGTGACAGCCAGTCTCCTCATTGGAGCGATGTCCTGGGTTTTGTGTATTTTTTATTTCAATGTGGAGGAAGGATTTATCGAGCACCTTCTGGATGCCAGGTACTGCACTTAGCACTCGGACTTGGTTGTTGTCCATTCCTGTGACAGTATTTTCTTCATGGTCTCGTGACAACAATCTATTACTTGTGCTACACAGAGCAACACAGAGCAATAAGGTACCACTTCAGGTATTTGTAGCTTTTTTTAATTTACTAACTTATAGCTTTATTTTCATTTTAAAATTTTTGTTGAATTCACTGGAGTGACATTGTTTAATAAAATTATATAGCTTTCAGGGGTACAGTTCTATAATACACCATCTGTAAATTGTATTTTTGTGCTCACTACCCCAATCGGGTCTCTTCCCATCACTATTTATCCCCCATTTACCCTTTTCTACCTCCCCCAACCCCCTCCCCTCTGGTCATCACCATACTGTTGTCTGTGTCTATGGGTTTTTGTTTTATTTTATTTTAAAATTAATGCTTTCATTTTTCTCACTCAGTCCCCCCAATTCTCCCCTCTGACAGCTGTCAGTCTGTTTTTGTATCTGTGAGTCTGTCTCCATTTTGGTTGTTAGTTTACTTTGTTCATTAGATTTCATACATATCTGAAATCTCATGCAGCTTGTCCTCCTCAGAACGGCTTATTTCACTTCACACAACACTCTCCAGGTCCATCCATGTTGTTGCAAATGTAAGCCTTACATCTTCACTTTCATCTTATAGTATTAATATTTTTGTAGAAATTGAAAATGTTTGCAGTCAACTGATTTTAATTAAGTACGTGTTTGAAATGTACAAACATAAAAAACGTATTTTAGGCTCTGGTGTTTGAAAGTTTCCAAATCTCTATAAAGCAGCAAAATCATGAAGATGATATTTGACCCATCCATCTTCATGCAGAGCTCTTTCCGATTCTCAACATGTGTCAGCTTACTTTTTGCATGTACTTAATCTAAATTAACATATTTCCTGGTTCAAAGGTGATGCATGTTCAATACACAAGAATGGGAGAATACGGCAACTGAAACCCAACTCCTACACCTGTTATCTCTAAATCCAACAGAGTTGTGGTGTGTCTTTGCATGTCCTGCCAGTCTCTGCTATGTAAACCTGTAGTCATGGTTCATAGCATGTCGTGAGATCATGTGAATGTGTTTATACTGATGCTGTGCTTTCATCAGTGGCAGGTCACTGTCCCCACAGTCATGCTCTGAATTGGACTCCACCTGCTCTGTGTGATGTGTTTGAGTGCTTGCATGCACTGGGGGGACACACTGTAGAAGATCACACCTGTCACCATCTCTGGTATGTGTTTCGCTAGAACAGGTAGTAACCACTGACATCTCACCAACACAGGTGTGACATAGATTGGTTTTGACGTGTTTGTGAAGTGATTACATTTTGAAGGTGGAGACAAGCATTTTTTCCCATATTTTTTGCAACAAGAGTCTCAAACGGCCTCAGAAGTTTCGGACAAAGTGTTGGGAAAGTTAGGGGAGTGGTTGGGTACAAGTGGGCCATGAAGAAATGGCTTCTGATTTCTCGCCACAGATGTTTCAAGAACAGAACACACAGCATGGTGGTTTGCCACATTTTAATGAGATCCCTTTCAGAGTGATTTATTGGTCTCACATTATAATGATATCAATATAAATTCTGATTATGAAGAACAATGAGTTAAACTGTACTTGAAAAATAGAGAATTGGATTAATATAAATAATTCTAAATGAATGAATGTGTATTTTAATTTGCTGACTACAATATAACCATCATTTTATTCACAAGTGGGATATGTCAGTTTTCCTGCCCGACACGTTACCTGGAATGTGGGATTTGGTGACTTTGCATGATACCCAGGTCGACAGGTGAACTCAAGACTATCATCTGTTCTAGCATAAACTTTTTTCTCATTACTCCATTTTAACTGTATTTTATGTTTTTCCATCATTTCTTCTAATATTACACATGCCTCTAAAGGTAAAAACAAGAAACATAAAACATCAAGTGGTATACAAATTCTCAGTACAGAAGTTTAGACTGTCATGTAGAATCTTCCACACTGATCCAGGAACTCATTCTCAAAACCTTTTTCAATATAATTCATTGAAAAGCCATCCTGTAGATGTAAGTCATTTCAAGCAATTAATGATGTAAATATGAGGTACTCTGTGTGATAACTAAAAGTTAAATCAAAGTTCATAATACCAGTTATCATGTGTAGAGTTTTCATAAAAGAATCTTTGTTGCTCTTCTTGCTTAAGAATTTTTCATATGTTATTCACTCACAGATCACTATGAGGGAGTCAAGCATTCATCAGAATAGTGGTAACCCATGAAAGTTCTGGTATAAAGAGCAGAACATCACACTCCTTACACACATTTCTGAGGACCCATGGGAACGGCAACACACTTACCTAAACATTTGGGTGGTTCTGACCACTCTCCGTCATGACATGTTAGTATCCTGTTTCCCTGAAGTTTATAGTAAGCCTGGCATTTGTACTCCACCGAGTCTCCTGGAGCATAGACGGCTGATGGGAATGTGGTGATGTCCCCATTGTCGATGGTTGGAGGGCGCCCACATGTTCCTTTGGACTCTACAAAAGGACAGTCTTTGGTTTAAGGTGGCTCTGGAGTATGTGGGAGCTATCCTCACCTCTTCAAGGCGCCAAAGTGGATTTACAGCTAAATAAGAGAGTAAGCAAGGTGAATAACCAAGTGAAGGACGCCTGACCAAGAGCCTTAAATCTAGGGTGTAAGGAAGCTGCCACACAGATGGGTAAGCAGAGAGGACATAGGGACAGCCTTGACCCCCCACCAAGTACAGTGGCTGAGAAGCCAGAGGGGCAGCTGGGCTGAGTCTAACCCTCTTTCGACAGACAGGTGTGACACAAGTGACACACTACTGACCAATGCAGCGTGGGACTGACTTCCAGATTCCACCCTGGCACACGAGGTCTCTTGCTTCCAGAATCAGAGAATTGTCTTGACAGAGAATAGAGATTGTTTCTCCTTCCTGATAATTCACTGTGGTCGTCATATTTTGAGATTTGGGAATCTGAGGTGGGGGTGCACATCTTGGTATTTCTAAAAATATTAAAATGAGACTTCTTAAGGAAAACCACAAGTTACAAATATTAAAAGGGTAATTCAGTAAACAAAGCTGTCAGTGATATTGCATCTGAAAAGATCAAATTATAGTATGTTCAAGATTTAAGTTTGTTGTACTGTTCTTCTTGCTTACCACTGTAACATACCACATGGGGTTTCTATTCTCATGGCCTTCTTTGTAAAGTCTCTCTCTTATTCTTTCTGTGATCAAGCTTGGATAATTTAGGGAAAACCTACTTTAATGATTTCTAACCAGTTGAGTGTCCTAACTAAATTATTCATTCAATAACAGTTGGAATATCAAGATTAATATCAGAATCTTTTTTTACGGATATCCATGATCAAATGTATTGAGAGCTGATGCAAACCCTCAGAAGATGTTGTGCCAATAGAAGCTGAATACCCATAGGTATAGGGAACTGGTTGGTGTGACAATGGCAAATGTATCTCAGCCTGGTTCTGAAACAGACATGGTCCAAGTGGCGCACAGAAGCCAGTCCCGCAGATCAGCTTTCCCATGGGGGAGCAGGCCTGCATTATATCTAGGCTGCTTTGAGGCTTGCTTTTGCTAAGACTCCCTCACCCTGAGTTAGGACAGCAGATGTGTAATGTGTATCTTGGAGATAACTCACTAAAGCGTATGCTAAGCTGTTCCAACCATGGAGTGTTACCAGATCAATCACTTTTATTGTTCTTTTCATTTGCAACATTCTTTTCTTTGTTATTTGTAAGAAGTAATCACTTCAAGCAAACTTGAGCATAATGAATGAGAACCTTCCTTGATGTAATGCTCCCAGAAAGCAGTAAAAGGCTGTCCAGGCAGGGGTCGGGGCACTCTCTCACTCAGAGAGTAGCCATGCTGTCCCTTTTCTTCACAGGACTTCTGCAGTCCATGTGATTTTGTTCATCACATCTACAACACCACAGACACTGCTGGCCACACAGACCATATCACATAGGGAAGAATTGCCTTCAGTTAAAGATCAATGAATTTGATACAGAATCTTGGCTGAGATACGAATTAGATATGTTAACTAGTGATTTATGTATTGTTAAAAGTTTAAAACTTTCCTGCAGGTTCTGTTTCCTAGCTTGCCAAAGTGGTAAGAGAGGTACATAGGAAGTTTAAATAGTCCACTCTCTGTTAAGGATATTAAGTTAATCAGCAAAACGTCTTTAAAAGAGAAAAGAAACTAAACTATATACCAGATGATTTCACCAGTGAATTCTAGCAATCATTTAAAGGAAAAATAATATAATAACTCTGTATGCAATAATATTATATATGTAATTTCTGGAAACAGAGGAGCAAATAACACTTCTTTGTTAGGTCTCTGACACCACAATAACCTTGATAACAACACCTGGCAGAGACGTTCCAAGAAAAAGTAACTGTAATTTAATATATCCATTAACATGTAAAAGAATTTTAAATATATAATAGCAAATCAAGTACAGGAAGTACAAAAAGAATAATATATCACCACCAAATAGAATTAACTCCAAGAATGAGACATTTTTATATGCAGTTCAATGGTATGGTGGGAGGAAAATGGAGACAACTGTACTTGAACAACAGTAAAAAAGAAAAATTCCCAATATAGGGGTACCCAAATGCACAGGGAAAATCTTGGAAAACCTCAAGATAGATATTGACAGCAACACAATTATCATAGGGGATTTTAACACCCCACTGTCAAAAATGGATAGATCTTACAAACAAAATATCAACAAAAATATTTTAGCATTGAACAATGTCCTAGATTAAATGGCCTTAACTGATATGTATAGAGCTCTTCATCACAAAGAAGCAAAATACACATTCTTTTCAAACACACATGAAATATTTTCAAAGATAGACCACATGATAGGACATGAAACAAGTCTCAACAAATTTAAGAAAGAAATAATATCAAGCATTTTCTCTGATCACAAGGGACTGAAACTGGAAATTAACCTCAAGGAAAAAACTCAAAAACACCTAAACTCATGGAGATTGAACAGAATGCTATTAAATAATGAATGGGTCAAGAAGGAGATTAAGGAAGAAATAAAAAACATTCTGGAAACAAGTGAAAATGAACTCACAATAATCCAAAACTTATGGGACACAGGAAAAGCAGTCCTGAGAGGGAAGGTCATAGTGATACAGACCTATCTAAAAAAGAGAGAAATATTTCAAATAAAAAACCTAACCCTACATTCACAAGATCTCAAGACACAACAACAAAGACAGCTTAGAGCAAGTAGAAGGCAGGAAATAACCAAGATCAGAGCAGAATTAAATGACATAGAGGCTAACAGCACAATTCTAAAGATCAATAAATCCAGGAGGTGGTTCTTTGAAAAGATAAACAAAATCAACAAGACTTTAGGCAGGGTTGAAACCTTTAAGCATCAAGAAACAAAGAGAGAAATGACCCAAATAAACAGAAATGAAAGAGGAGAGATTATAACTGATACCACAGAAATAGAAAGGATTTTAAGAAATTACTAGGAGGAACTATATGCTAAGAAATTTGAAAGCCTAGGTGAAATGGACAAATTTCTAGAAAAATATAATCATCCAAAAGTGAAGAAGAAGCAGAAAGCCTGAACACACCAATAAGAGCTGACAAAATTGAAGCAGTAATCAAAAACTCCTGACACACAAAAGCCTCAGACCTGATGGTTTCACAGGAGAATTCTATAAAGCATTTAAGGAAGAGTTAACCCTTATCCTTCACAGATTATTCCAAAAAATCCAAGAAGATGGAAGACTCCCAAACTCTTTTTATGAAGACAGTATCACCCTAATCCCCAAACCAGATAAAGACATAACAAAGAAAGAAAACTTCAGGCCAATATTGCTGATGAAAATGCACTCTAAAATCCTCAACAAAATGTTGGCAAACGCATCTGGCAATACATTAAAAACATCAAGTGGGATACACCATGATCAAGTGGGATTCATCCCAGGGATGCAGGGATGATTCAGTATTTGAAAATCCATAAATATAATACGTCACATAAACAAAAGGAAAGATGAAAGTCACATGATCATATAAAAATGTGGAAAAAGCATTTGACAAGGTTACAGCCCATTTATGATAAAAACACTCAGCAAAGTGGGAGTAGGGGAAGCATTCCTCAACATAATAAAGGCCATATAAGAGAGACCTACAGCCAACATCATACACAATGGGCAAAAACTAAAAAGCTTTTCCACTAAGATCAGGAACAAGACAAGAATGCCCAATTTCACAACTCCTATTCAACATAGTATTGGAAGTCTTAGCTACAGCAATGAGGCAAGGAAAAGAAATAAGAGGCATCCAAATTGGAAAGGAGGAAGCAAAAGTGTCATTGTTTGCAGATGACATGATAGTGTACATAGGAAATCCTATAGACTCCACCAAAAAAACTGTTTGACCTAATTAGTGAATTTGGCACAACGGTGAGATATAAAGTCAATATGCAGAAATCAAAGGCATATTTGTACACTAATAGTGAACTATCAGAAACAGAAATCAGGAAAAAAGTCCCATTTGATAGAGCAACAAGAAAAATAAAGTACCTAGGAATAAACCTAACCAAGGATGTAAAAGACCTGTACTCATAAAACCACACAACACTCAAGAAATAAAATAAGGAAGACACAAACAAATGGAAGCATGTACCATGTTCATGGATTGGAAGAATTAACATCATCAAAATATCCATACTACCCAGAGCACTACATAGATTCAATGCAATCCTTATTAAAGTACCAGTGACATATTTCACAGATATAGAACAAATACTTCAAAAATCTATATAAAACCATAAATGACCCTGAATAGCTGCAGCAATTTTGAGAAAGAAGAACAAGGTAAAAGGCA